TATGACAACAATAGATTGCAATGGTCAGGTTTTAAAATAAATCTTATGTAAATTTGGACGGATATAGTTCATATTACAGATCCTTTGTATATATTTAATTTAAGCCACTATATGTCCATAACATTGGTTGTTCGCATATCGTTTGTCCACAGTTTAAAAACAACAATGTTCCTCTACGATAGTTGTGGTCTTCATGAATGACTGCCCTCTACTTTTAGTAGCAGCATTACCAGTTGTTTTTATACGATATAAATATATTCATGCGAGCCACAAGCATTTCAATTTGTAAGTATTGGATAATTGCTTGTTTTCAAGTATCAGCCCTATTTCGAAAGAGGGACAACTGATCTCAACGCAATTTAGTTACTTACACTTCATCACAACACATGTCAGGCCTTTCCATGCGATAACCAGTCTTCAAAAGTTGACACAGCTCTCGATTGGTTAACGTGGGATACGGCACACCTCCTGAAATTCATCCAAAGAAAAATAAGTCATAAGAAAGTGTCACGTGAGGAAAACTGAAATGAATTCTCGCCTTAACATAAGAAAGTAATGACTAATTTCGGAAAAAATAAAGAAACAAGAATGTAATGGAAATAGAAAAAAATATTTTTTTAACTTACCCATGGTGGCCATTTCCCAAAGAAGTATTCCAAAGGACCAGCTATATGCAAATAAAATAATAAAAAAAAAATCAAGAAACGCTGTTTTGTAATTACTGTACATGTACTCAACACAATTAAGATTTTAAGTCTTTCTCTTTTTGGGCCATGTAATTATAATGACAAGCCGCCCACCAGCAACTTCTACGCTTCTTTCCTGCCCTCGAAACTTCTCGACAATACACGCTAAATCCTTGAAAGAACAAGTTGTACTTCTCCGTGTGTGCATCTGAGGGTTAAGGAAAAGGTTTTGCCGTCACACGGAAAGAGTGACTTACACATCACTCTTGATGGTGTAAATGCTGTCATTAATTGATTCTGGGGCCATCCATTTCACAGGAAGCTTCTTTGTATTCTTTCCACTGTACAAGTCCTCGTAGATTTCTCGCATCAATCCAAAGTCTGACACTTTGACTCGGTTATCAGTGCCAACCAGAATATTACGAGCTGCAAGGTCACGATGAATGAAGCCTTTCTCTGCAAGATGATTCTAAAAAATTATGACAGAATTACAAGAGCACAATTTATTTATAGAAATAAAGATTATGATTCTCTTTTGTTTGTTTGTGTTTTGGGAATCACGTATTAAAACTTTGTTTGAAGTTACCAATAAACGAGGCATGCAAGACCCATCCTAGTTTCAGATGATTTGTTCACAGGACCTTTCTTGTGGAGGTTGAGAGTCACAACTAGAAAGTATTTTTACACTTTATCTCATTTCGAACTAGCTATAGTAATACCTACCATTCCCTTTGCTATTTGCCAAGCAAAAGAAAACAGCTTTTGAGTAGTAAAGCTGTCTGGTTCTTCGTCGTTGTCATCATCAATATTTTCAGTTGATATCAATATAGCGGCAGCATTGCTGTTGCCCTGTGATGTCGATGGCATCGACATCTGTTCCATGCTTTTCTGCTCCAGAAAATCGTTACAGTTACCTTCGCCAGGGTCGGCGTCATCATCATCAATATTTTCAGTTGGCATCAGTATAGCGGAAGCATTGTCTTTTCCCTGTGATGTCGTTGGCATTAATAGCACCTCAATTTTTTCCTGGTTCAGAAAAGCATTATTGTTTCCTTCCTCTTTCTCGTCGTCATCATCATCAATATTTTCAGTCGATATGGATATGGTGGCAGCGTTGCTGTTTTCCTGTGATGTCGATGGTATCGGCATCAGTTCAATGATTTCCTGATCCAGTGAA